CCTTACATTTAACTGCAAAAGAAATAATTTGATTCTATTCATTCGGTTGTGAATAGAGCTGTGTGACAACAGGGACACTTAAATCACGGAATTATCGATTTCTTGCAATTAATTAGGGCTGCTGTCACAGGGTGATGTTAGAAAATGTCACACGAGAAATAAATGTGCAACTTAAATATTGACAGAAAAAAATGGCAACTAAGCAAAGAAATAACAAACTGGTTTGGTGTGTTCGAACTCCTGACCTGTCCACCGTCCATTCCTGGAGTCCCGTCCGGTCCAGCAGATCCCTGGTAGAAGGCAGACGTCACTGTTAAAGGAACATCAGAACACAAATAAACTGAAGGGGTTGCTACCTGAGTCCCTCTTAATTCAATGAAAACTTACAGCTAAACTACGTTTAACTATTTAGGTGACTGAAATGTAATGATTAGTTGTCTGGTAGGCAAGGGTAGGTAAAGTCTGAATACATGCCAAGTGGTCCCGGTTTATGTAGCACGAAGCAACTAGGAGTATTTAATATTTAATTAAATTCGCCGGTACCCATTTATACCCCTGGGTGGAGAGAGGCACTGTGAGAGTAAAGTGTCTTGCCCAAGAATACAACACAATATCCCCGGCCAGGGTTCGAACCCAGGCCACTCGATCTGGAGACGAGCGCACTAACCATGAGGCCAAAGCACCTCCCTTAGTCTGGGCCTAATATTTATTTATTAAGTCCTATGCTTCCCATGGCGCAACGAGGACGGATGATGATATTGGATTTTCTGTTAGATATTTCCTCAAACAGTAGCTCGGGGACAAATGTTCTAATCATTTGGACTAAAGGGTTCGACAAAAGAGATTGATGTTCTCTTGGTGCGATTATTCAAGGAAAGACCGAAGTTATCAAAAAATCGGGTTAAACGGATCACAATCAACAAATGAGAGTTGATGAAGCAGATCACTTAGGCTATGTTCACACTTAGTTCCTGAGCACGGTTCCCGAATCCGATGCTCGCCGAGCTCTAATGTGCACACACCTTTTTTCCAAGTAATCACACCTGAATTCGGGCACTAGCGCCCGTGCCAGGGTACAAGGTCTCAATCTTGTACTCGGGCACTAAATGTCACTTGGGTATTTGGAGTACCCAGTGTCTGAACGCAACACTATTTTGTGGCGGGCCCCATGCACCAGCGCTCAGGCGCAAAGTGCATGTGAAAACAGCCTAAGAGAGTTCCTTCATTTGATCGTACTGGTCAGCGTATCTTTGGTTTCTGTGCCATGGAGCGCAAAGGGTCAGATACGTTTCCTTAAAACGGATTGATACTCATTTACTCACAACGATTGAAAAAGTCAATGAATAAAAAAAAGTAATATAAATCAGGAAAGGTTGGAGAAAGGCGAAGCCTCTGAACAAAAATGTGTCAACGTGGCAGTAATCAAAACTTGAAAACTTTATCATATTTTAAAGTTCTTCAAGCTACTTGTACCGGTGCACAATTAACAATTATTCCACAAACAAGCGTTGGGTATGAGTTGGCTATAATCATCTCCAAAATATAGAAAACTAAACTGAAATAAAAGTGAAAACGCCCCAAAAAGCACGCGTACGCTTACCGCATTTGTAGAGCATGGTATAATGGCTCATAACCCATGATGGCTAAGCCAATGAAAAATCTCGAAATGCATTCTTCAATGATCTAGTTTTTAATGATTGCACTTATAAGACTGTTCAGGAGCACGTCAGGATACTTTGTTCGTATATACAACCTATAGGCCGTGGGTTCTTTATGCCAGAAATGGTTTACCTTACAATATTGCCTTAGTGTTTCAAGTTCCCGGTTTGTCATCTGTTTTAAAATTCTTCAGTTTGCACCACTTCAGAATCGACTTTTTAATGTTTTCTGCGCCAGTAACCGAACAATTATTTTGAGGCTTCTTACTCTTATCGAATATCAATAAGTACATCGTAATGGTCACTTTACAAGGGATGCCCATAAAAATCTAATCTTACCTCATCTCCGTCATCACCACGGAAACCTTTAGCTCCCGGGGAACCGCGCCTTCCTCGATGACCGTTCCGACCCAGGATCCCATCGTATCCAGAGTCACCAACAGCACCCTGAAACGTTAGGTAAGCAATTGTTTGTATTAACCTTCGTAACGACTTTTCTTCGGAGCTATTGTTCGTGGCAGTGCTCGCCAATCCTCTACTTGGAACTTTTACGTGACGACCAAAGAAAAGATATTATCTTTTACTTTACATTATTTTATAATTTTTAACAGTGAGTATTACGGGATAATAACGTCCTACAGTTAGCCAATCAGAGTGAGCGTTAGATCAGCTAAAAACACAAACCATATGATGAAAAAAAACGCAAGAACTTAAGTTGCCAGAAGACCTCAAAGAAACCGATAACGCTTACAGGTTGAAACTTATAGATTGCTGAGTGAATGGACAAAGTTCTCAAAACATTGGGAAAACCATTTAATGCGATGCAGATCTTTCAACGCCACTTAAAAATAGAGCTCACGCATAGAGATGAAGGGTCTCAATTCCACTCACCTCCGGTCTATTAAGAGAACAAAACAATTCCAAGCTAAATAACCAGCTCACCTGATATCCTTTTAATCCAGGAAGACCTTGTTTACCCGGCTTTCCTCTCTTTCCCTGTAGAAATCCAAGTATTAGTTGGTTAGTTAAAGGGGATCGACACTTAGCACAGCGAAAAAAAATCCCTCGCACCTTTGAAGCAACCATACTTCGAATTACATTAAGAACCAAGGGCCTAAATCACGGAAATGCCTAAGGATACCGGGTAATAACAGATCCGAGAATCTCGGGCTTCGATTTTTAGCTTAAGTGTTACATTCCCCTCGAAAACAAATTCAAAACAGTCACTTTTTTGCGTGTGTTTTGAGATCCCGGTATGATATAAATTAAACATTCCGGAAAAAGTGCAAATTTCGTCGAGTGAGTCCAGAGAGAGGAGTTAGATCTACTTTCTCCTTTTATTCACGTTCAGCTACGGTTTTCTTTTCAAGAGAGAAAAGGAATGTCTTGGAGTCTAACATTTTGTGCTACATATTATGCGTTTATCGAATCAAATTAAATTTTGATTAACGGAGCGAGAGATATCGCTGCGAACTTACCCGAATTCCATCAAAGCCCGGTAGGCCAGGGGTACCGGGAACTCCGGGCTCGCCCTAAAATCACAGTATGTATTTCTTTAGATTTAAGCAGACTGCAGTCAAGTAAATTAATTTTTATATTTATCTAAGATCATCCAACAAAACCAAACACAGGTTACTGGCTCACCCTGAAAAACAGCGGTTTTCAGATTGAAGTAAATTCTGGCTTGTACGGAACACTGGGGTGAATGAAAGGTTCCACTGACTACATTTTTCAGAAACCTAAAGAGGATGGAACTAGGGGAAACCAAGGACACCGATCCAAATCCAAATCAACTACAGTCTTGGGACGTTGGTCCATCAGCAGTGATAGCTGGCGACGAAAACCCCGGGTCTCTCCAGGAAGAAGAGTATCACCTCCGCTTTTTTTGTCA